ATTATAAACTGTTTGACCTATGGCTCAGGCTTCTTATTGGTTAGCTCTCTCTTAATTATTAACCCATTTCTATTCATCTATGTATCTTCACGTGGTCTTGACTTGCCGGTGAAGCCTGGACCTCGTCCTTCCTCGGTAGCTACAGACTCTACTGACTCTGCCTACTATGTTACTCTATCCCTGTTTGGATTTCCCACCTGGCTAAATCCTGCCTGTCCACTGGCCGAAACAGCTTTATTCAAAAACCAGTAAGAGAAACATATATTCACGGGACACAGAAGGACATCCCCCATCAATCACCTAGGAGTCAGGCCTCCAGGCACACTTGTAAGGGACTGTTGAGATTGAGATTAACTTCTGTAAATGTCTGTTGGACTTCCTTTAACACTGTATTGATGTGGAGGACCCATCTTAATTGCTTGTGAGACCATTCTACGTGCAGGACAGATGTTATATATGTGTGTGTGTGTGTGTGTGTGTGTGTGTGTGTGTGTGTGTGTGTGTAACTTCTGAGTAAGTCTCAGAAAAAGAAAGCAAGACCACCACCATCCAAAAAATGCATGCCTCTATTCCCAGCACTCTCAGGAGGCAGACGCAGGAATGTATAAGATAAGGCCAGCCTGGTTTACAGAGCCAGTTCCAGGACAGCCAAGGCTACACAGAGAAACAATGTCAAAACAAAGTCTCTGAAAAATCCATCTAAGAGAATAGGAAAGTAAAATGTGGTAGTGAAAGACCCCCCTGAGATGGGAGAGCCTCACTCAAGTCTCGGGATGATGTGACCCCCAAAAAAACTTACGAGAGACCGAGAGACCGTCCTTTGCTGCAATCACACGAGGTTTATTGACAGGAACCAGCGCGCTGGGGCCAAGAGGAGTTTAGACCCCGAATGACTGGGAATAGAGGTTTTTTAAAGGAAGAATCCACAACCCAAAATACCAAAAATACTAGTGAGGGAAGAAACCCCAACCCAAAATACCAAGAATTCCAGTGAAAGGTGCCGAGGGAAATCACAAGGGGAAACTCCGTATTCCTTATGATCGTTGTGAGATTCTAATCTAACTTTTTATGTCTAGCCTTTTCCTGGAACAGAGTTGCTGAACCGGCTAGCCACCCTATATCCTAGGCTTTATTTTGTCTGCTGAGGGGGTCTTCTTTATCCTGGCCTTTCACTCCCTCTCCCCCTCTCACTCTCCTGCCCGGTAATAAAACCCTATGATTAATGTACTCTATGGTTGGCGTTCCATCGTGACAGTTTCCATCAAACAGTTTCTTTCTATTTTCTAATTTTTAAACTTTTACAGAATTACAAGATCGATGGCAAATCCATTCCTCTGATGGTATTAGAACCTACTTCTTGAGGATTCCAGTATAAACTACAGACTGGCTGGGACATCCTGCCTTGCAGACTGAACAAATACTGGATTTTTAGACTTTCTGTTGGGAGACAGTCATTGTTGGACTAGTAGAAACACTATATATAGACTCGTTTTATCAACTCTGCTTTTCTAGAAAACCCTGACTAATACACAGGTAAGATGCTTATAC